TACCCAAGGGTACCAAAAATAGTACCCAGGGGCAGAGTACCTAAGAGTACTAAAAATAGTACCCAAGGGTACCAAAAATAATACCCAGGGGCAGAATACCCAAGGGTACTAAAAATAGTACACGAGAGAAGATTACCTGTGATACCTCTCGATTCTAGAGTCACAGGTGATTAAGTTCGGGCACAGATCCGAGGGATACCAAACAATTAATATGTAAACAAGCAAGAATAAAAATTGAATTAAGAATAAAATAATAATGCGCTGAAAAAAATTTAAAATAAAAATCCTCAAACTTTAAATAATAAATTAATATTATTTAAATTCTCCAAATCCGTACAACTCGGGAATCCAATTAGTGGACCCCTAATAATCCTATACTATAAATAAATTTACAAAATTAAAATCCAAAACTAGAATAAGAAAAGAAATCTTATGTAGTCGGAAGAGTGAGTGACTGTATCTGCATCACCACGATCAAGCCCTAAGCCTGGTACTTACGAACACCTGGAAAAAATAAAGGTGGGTCAGGCCCACATACAAGTTCCATCCTACTACAATCCGTACATAAACCCGATACGCAGATACATCCTAGACAGTTCGGCAATATCTAAAATAGTCTATATATATATATATATATATATATATATATTATATATATATATATATACAAATTATAAGATGCTCACTAGCCTATAACATAGTTCAGCCTGGGTAGAAGGTGACATATAAAACACGCTTTCCAGCGGCCAAGTACCTAGACCTACCAGGAAACATCAACTATATCTAGCTACTCAACCTTTGCGATATACGCACCCTAACCGTGATCAGGAGACTCAAGCTGTATTACGGTACCATAAGTATATATATAAATTTCTTCATAATGCAGAAAGATAGAATAAATATCCATTATGTCGTTTAACTGTTTTAGTTGATAGGACATGCATCCATGTAGGACTTAACTGTTTTAGTTAATCCATTCCGTATGTATAAAGAGGTAGGACTTAGCTTTTTGATCTAATCCATCTCTGATTTGCCACCGTCCCATACCGGTGCATATAATGCATATGATCCAATAATGATACACACTCAAATGAACATCAAGTAAATCCAGAAACCAACATAATAGAAATCAAATATTAATAAGATCCTATCATACATCCAGTATATGATTATAATCATAAAAACTCCTTTTAAACTGTTAGAGTACTGATAAACAATTTAAATTATCCATATCCTTCCAATTGACAAAACAGAAATTACAACAGTTTATCAATTAACATCTATAGCATGGTATAATGATTATCAGAATTATGAACTGAGGACATTATACTAGAAATCCCAAACCATACTGTCATACTAGTTCACTTAAATCACTGAAACAAAGACTAGTAATGAAATCCTCCACAATCCTTGACGGCATGTAAATTGATATCTAAATTTCATGACGTTTCTTTCCAGATCACACACCCACATTCCTGGGTCTTAATTATGCGTTATATATCTTTGATATAACATTCCTAAAATATCTTTCATTTCAGTCCATTCAATTGGCTAAATAAACTGGAAATTTAAGTCTTCCTCCTTCCTGGACAGCATGCACATTAATCTTTAATAATTCATGATGTCCATTAATATTAACACACTAGCATATACTAACTAATTTAAGGTTTTAATAGGTTAATTTTAAACATTTAAAACCCCATATCACTTTCCAGAAATTTCATTTAAGCCCCTGAAATAAATTAAAAAAAATCAGCAAAACGCATTTACTGTGCATTTACAAAAGAGGACCCGGCTCCACAAAAGTTTGGAGCCTGCTCTACCTTCTTGGAGCCACCTCCACAAGAGTGTGGAGCCTGCTCCACTTCAATGGAGCCGGCTCCATTGAAGGGTGGAGCCTCCTCCACTCTTTCAGCCTCCGTTTTTCCTTCTCCATTTCCTCTGTTTGCCTTCTCCGCTTCCGGCAAAGTTTCAGTCCTCTGTCCCACTTTTGTTAAAGATTTTTAAGGTTCAATTTAAGTCCTAACAATCCTAGAAACTTCTCCAATTCCAGTATAAATTAATTGACAAAAACATAAATCATAATCGAAACAGTTTATGCTTCCTCTGTTTGCCTTCTCTGCTTCCGGCAAAGTTCAACCCTCTAATCTAGATTTTTTTTAAAGTTCTTAGGTTTCAATTAAGTCCCAACCATCCTAAGGACTCATCAAATATCAACAAGCATTGCTTGACAAAAATTTAAAACCGAACAAAACAGTTTATGCAAGGAACATAATTTCAGTTCACCTAAACATACGAACAGTATAAAGTCTGTTACCATGCATCAAAATTCCGTTTTAAAGTTTAATTAACTTCCTGGAGACTATATAGAATGCATATAACACAAGTTTACAAGAAGGAGATAGAATGAAACTTGCCTTCGGTTTCAGTTTGAAACTTTAAAACGTCGTCTCTATAATCCGGCAACTCCAAGACCATTCCTTCCTCCTCTGTCCACTGCTCTCCACCTAGGTTGCTCCTTGGCTCAACTCACGAGCAATTCCCTTTATTAATCTCCCAAGACCCTCTCTCTTTATTCTCAAAACCATTCCAGAGTCTCTATTTTCCCCTCTCCAGATAATACGTGAAGAGGGTTTCTCAAACCCTTGCAGACATATATTGTTCTATATATAGAGGCTTCTGTAAAAACCCTAATCCTAATCCCAGCCTACTTATACATCGGCTTACCTAATTATATAAAACAAAACCCTAAACTTAAGTATACGCAAACACTGTAATAACAAATGACCAAACAGTTACGTCCATTACAATTAAATAGACATTTAAAACAAACAAACCAAGGAAAACAAATAAATAAATATAATTAAATAAAACATTCCAAACACATCCACAATTAAATTAAAACAATTTCTAATTAATAATTAATTTAAATACACAAAAATAATCAATTAATCAATTAAGCAAATACACATAAAACAAATTCACCATTAATCAATTAAGTACCCAAAACACAAAAGTCACATAATTAAATAAAAACACAATAAATTCAAAATTAAATTATCATTTTATATTTTTGAAAACTAGGGGTATTACATTACCCAAGGGTACAAAAAATAGTACACAAGGGAAGATTACCCAAGGGTACCAAAAATAGTACCCAGGGGCAGAGTACCGAAGGGTACTAAAAATAGTACCCAGGGGCAGAGTACACAAGAGTACCCAAAGATACTAAAAATAATACCCGAGGGAAGATTACCCAAGGGTACCAAAAATAGTACCAAAGGGAAGAGTACTCAAGGGAGAAAATTACTCAAGGGAAGAGTACCCAGGGCCAAAAAAAAAAAAAAAAATTTATTGTTCCAATGAACAGTACTGTTCCCTTGGGAACAGTGCTGGGGGCAAAAAAATTTACATTCCCAAAGTTAGACGAGTAAGCTTGGGAATAGGGGGCAACTGATAGGGAAAAATAACCTACATTGACCAGCCGCCAGACCTCTTCGACATATTTCGTTATCAAAGTTAAAGATTTCCATCAGATAAGAATGATGACATTTCTTATCCAGGATAATGAATGACGACGTGGTTTAACAGGGTGTCACCTTGGCACAATTTGAGAACGTCAAAGGAGTAAATCATATCTCCGACAAATCTGGCAACAAACGATCTCCTCTGATCTCGCACAAGCGGATCTCCCGCGGGACCAATATGATTCCAATCGACAGCCATAAATAGGGCACCAAGCCGTTAAAGAAGGTACGAGAAAAAACCCCTAAAGAGAATATACATAATTATTATGTAATACGATTACAAGTACTAACTTGATCGTCGGAGAGTCCTCGGCAGACACCCTATCGGTGCCATTCGAGATGATGTCCTTTTATTTTGCAAGTAAACGCCATCGTTTCGAGTTGCGAGGATTTTCGCATCAACAAATAATTATAATAATAATAAGGAAGATGAGACAATTTGTGACAAAGGGGTCTGAGAAAAATAAATTGAATTTTTAATTTTTAAATAGGATGCATTTAGGGAGGTATACAATAATTTTTTAACACTTATAATTCTTTTTTTTCAAAGAAAATTTTTAGTGATGAGACGTGATTTTCAGAAGTGAAGAGTGATAGTGGTTTTGTATTAAAAATGAAGTGTCGAAAATTTTGAAAATAATAAATAGTGGTAGTGATTTTGTGTTAAAAGGAAAGTATATTGGTGGATTTAGAATGTGACCATTAAATCTAATATAATGGTCACAATAGGAAGTGCAGAAAAAAAATTTTATTCCACGGGGAGTACTCATATATATAAAGAACATTGAACTTATATTTAACTCTAATTTCTATAGTCATGAAAAATGAGCTTCTAGGCCCAAGTCTTTCCCAAGACATGAGCTGACCACAAAATGCATCGTTGAATGCATTACATGCTGTCATAATGCATCCAAGGGGCGCATTATGGTACGCCAAAGTCTTCAATGCAAGAATTATAATTATTATAGGAAGAACCATTTAGGCCGAAGTCTTCCCAACCACAATGCATCGTTGAATGTATTACCCAGGGCCACAATGCATCCATCCAAGACTTGGTACCCCGAAGTCTTGGGGACAAAATCAATTATTCCTATCGTTTTAGTCTACGACCCAAGACTTGGGGCGCAAAAATCATTATTCGTGTTGAAAGATACCCGCTATTTAGGCTTGAAGTCTTCAACCCAAGACTTCAATTGAACAAAATTCAGAGATCTGGTCTAAACTAGCCCATTAGGCATTAGCTGTGTAATGTGGATGGGTCCCACTTGTTGCATCTCTAGAATGGACCCACCTGTTTATTTCGGTGTCCTCGTCATTTTCTCTCTCTCTCTCTCTCTCTCACACACACACACACACACACACACACACACACACACACAAATCATGTGAAGAACCCTCTGTTCGACCCCAACACAAAAAGACATCAAACTCATCAGAAAACTAGTAGTTGCATAATGTTCTGGACAAAACGCATAATATAAAAGAGTGGTTGACAGTAAGGATTTATAATAGAGTTAACTCCCTAATACGATCTGTTCTAGCTTCCAAAACACAAGCATGACTCCCACTTACCATTTACAAAAGAATGCACATAAGAATAACAATACAACACAGTATGCCAACTAGCTTACATACAACAATTTTTCTGTTCAAATTCAACCTTTGCTAGCCTGTTCTTTTTTCTTTTCTTTTTTTCCCTTTTCGTTTCGTGTTTCTTTTGTTCATTTGCAATCGAGGAGAGAGAGCCTGGATCTAAACTATGGCCTCCAAAAGTATATCCCACCGAAATATAACTTAAAAGCTTTTTTTACTGATTTACGCTGACCTTTCGTGTTCTTCCTTTGTCCTCCTGTCTCTTTTCATGACCGCGACTCAAAGAAGCTATCTTATCTGTTCTTGTTTAAACTGCAGTCGCGCTACAGGCTGTGGATCATTGCTTCCGTAATCTGTTTTCTTAGTCGTAGCATGATTTACGACATTGTGTGGCTTTACCTGCGATGTGTTGTTATTGGTGTTTGAGTTGTGGCTGCTGCTGCTTCTAGCTGCTGGTACATCATGATTATGCTTGCCTTCATACGTTGTTATGACAGCTTTGGGGTCGCTTGCAGCCCTCTCAACATGCTTACGGACATTGCACCCTGGGTTTGTGCACTTATAATAGCTCCTGCAGTTGGCAGCAAGATACTTAAACAAGGATTGTAAATAAACACAAATCACGCAGCTAGTAAAAGACTGTTAATGTACGAAAACATTTAAAGCAACAGAAAATGTATCGAAATAGCAGTCTTTGATGGATCATTTTGTTATTGACAGCTGTACCTTGTTAAAAGCTAATTATACGAGACAACACTATTGCAGCATCACAGATCAGTACAGAGAATACTCGATGATATGCATATAAGCCCAAATTTTTTTTTAAAAAAAATAGAATGAAAAACATGAAAAATCTGGAAGAATAAGAATAATCAAACTGGATCATCAAATTGACAAAACGCACTATTGAACACGTATAACATGGATTGAATGATCAATAATGAGTGTTATCGAATTAGTCTACTATCATATTACATAATAGTTGAACAATAAATATTCACAGAATTAGTTAAGCATATTATAGATCTACAAGATGAAATGGAATTTGACTTTTTTTTAAACTTCTAAAAGAGAAATTAAAATAATGCAACAAGACCTAACGTAAAACATGTATAGCTGCAACAAATTGAATACTATAAGTACAATCTCATTTAAGAAGAAAGAAAAATGATGACAATATTTTTTGAGAAAAACCCAAATACTGAAATCCAAGAAACCAAAATTATTTGGTAGTTGATGGTTGTAGAAGGAGAAAGATAGCATATGAAGCTCCGGAAGATAAAGGACTTCTATTTGATGTTTGAGTGGTTAATAAAGCAACTGATATTAATGGACAAAGCTTATTGAGTAAAGTTAGTCATCACAGTGTCATGATACGTCTTGCGAGATGATGTTGTCCCGGCTAGGACAGGCAGGTCTACTTGCAGGGAAAAACAAAGTAGTTTTTCTACATCGTTTGTACTGCATCATGGATTCATCTAGAGTGTTTGGCTGGAGATATGTTCTCCTTATTTCTGGACTGCACCTTTCTTGCTTTAATTAATAAGGTAGTCTGATAGAATTATATGGTTTTTTCCTTTTTGCTTTATTTTCCCCCCCTAGATGGTGTGGCACAATTTTCTGGCATTAGGAAGTATCACCTAAGCTAAGATGAAATGTTAAACTAGTTGAGGGCAACCGCACATAATTTAAACAAAAAATATGTTTGGTTTCAGTAGTCTCAAGTAAAGCAAGAGAGCTTAAACATGTAGTGATTTACAAGATGATAAATACATCTCAATATTATGCCAAAAAACTGGTTTAAAAACAAATAATAATAAATAAAAAGACTGTCAAGCTCACCCAAGTACTTGAGATTTAATGTTTGTTACGTTGTTGTATGCTTTACCTCCCAATAAAATACTGGTCTTCAGTATAATCTCTGTTCTTTACCTCTTCCTTTTTTTCCCTTTTCCCCCTTCTTTTAAAAGGTTTACGACTGCAGGGCACTCCATGCAATAACGACTTTGATTATAAATGCTGGAGTTTCCATATTAGCAAGCATCACGAGTTTTATAATTCAATGGTGACAAATTCAACCATGAAATGTAAAGAAACAGGATCGTATAATTCCCTACGATGAAACTGGAATCGAGATTGAACTACCATAAAAATTTTCATATTTTATATTTCTTTTTAATGATAAGTAAATCAGGAAAAAGAATACTACCTTGGATAAGGATTTCCTTTAACAACTTTCTGGCCATACTTGCGCCACCTATAGCCATCATCCAACAGATCCACTTCACTTGTTGTCTGTACAATGATCCTAGGTTCTGTCACCGTCCGGTGGGATGAAGCTGGCTCTGAAACCCTGACTTCAGTATTCCTGAGCAACATACATTAAGAACAAGGTAGCAATCAAGATAAATTGAAAAATAAAAAACTATTCCAGTATGAACGTCTAATGCTTCCAGGAAAGGTAGAAACCTTCTCTTTGGTTCAGGTTCATCTTCATCCCCTTCATCTGCTCTGGTTTCAGTATCACCCACTTCCTCACTGTCACTTGATCCTGACAAATGCTCGGGTGTAGCTTGGCTAGATTCCTGATCCTTCATAGACAATGAATAAACAGGTACCCCTTCTTTTGATTTGTTCAAATTACCAGACCTTCCTTCCAAAGCCGATTCAGTGTTTCCCTGGAGACTTGAGTTCCCGTTTGGATTTCCAGTATCTTTTGCACGCTTATTGGCATGTGGCTGCTGATGGTTGTGCTGACCCTTGTAGATAATCTCAGTTACTTGGCCATCAAAAGAACGTTCAACCTTTTTCTTGACTGGACAATTCGGATGAGTACATTTGTAATAACTTCGAGGATATTCACTGCCCTTCACTTGCTTCTGCCCATATTTCCGCCAGTTGAAGCCATCCTCAGCAGGCTTGTCAACAGTAAAGGAAGAACTGTAGGATCTTTGATCAGAATGAGAGATTTCTGATGACTCATTCGTGATGTTAGTGTCTGGCACAGAGGGTGGCATTTGCTGTTGTGTGGTTGTATTGGAAGAAAACGATGGAAGCTGTGGCATTGCATATTCAGATTGGATATGCATATGGGATTGAGATTGTGCGGCCTGAGCTGTAACCTGTGCCAGGGCCTGTTGGTGGGACATCCCAAAGGTGCCCTACACATCTCAAAAATCATAAAAATAAATAGCTGAAAGAGGGGTGAAGCTTTGAGTAACTGAGGTAGGAAATCATCACTGTATATGCAAGTATGCAACCATTGTCCCTATTTTTCAGCTTCCCTGCCAATCCTCCAAGTCAGAATCACTCAGTAATTGGTGGTTATCCTCTTTCTTAAAGAGGCATGACAAAGAAGAATAAGTTGTATATATTGATCTAAATTATCTCAATCAACTTCATCGCATTCTTCACAAATTACTGAGCTCCCAACAGGAAGATAAAGAGACACCTACAAGGTTCTCTGAAGATGGATTTCTGACAGACTTTGAGCTGCATAACTGAAAGAAATAGACTTTATCCACTTTTTGGCATGACTCCTTATACTGGCACAAACTCAATTTCTAACTCTGATATTATCGGATCAAATACGTGAGGAGCTAATGTAAGCATCTTTTACTTTATCTTTTTCTTTCTTTTTTGATAAAATGTGCAAAAGAAAAGATTTTTGAATATTAAAATCTAACATTATAATTACATGAAATGCTTTCCAGTTCCCACACACACACACAAAAAAAAAAAAAAAAAAAAAAACTAGAACTTATAATCATGTAATTATAACCTCAAAAGTTGATTGTTTGCCCATGCCCCATTGAAAAAGGCAGCCAACTCAAGTTCCAATTTGACATTCTGGTAGCTACATCTGCACTTCTGATCTAACCAATACTGGCAAAATACCAAGTATCGCACTAAGTGCTTATCTCACTAAGAGCAAAATAATTTAAAGAGAATGCAGACCATAAAATATATAAGTATAGTGTACTTAAGAACTATATCACCAAGACGAAACAATCCAGACATGGATTTACACACCACGAGACCAAAAGACACTGATTTCAAACTCTCCCACATACTCCCAAAAAATTAGAGAGTTCCCAACTTATAGGAAAAATATACACCTCAGACCATAAGGGATTGTCACCAAAATTTTCAGTATAGAAGTAAATATATAATTGAGTAGTACTGCATTAAAAGCAGCATTCCCTTATTGTGAAATGACTCCAAGTACTCCAACTATCTGGAGGTAACTTTTACAATCATTCCATTACCGAAATCAAACTTATAGTAAGTTAAAGCAAGCATTTCCGTATGCAGAGGTAAGACTACAAACATCTGACCTTCCACGAACCCGCAATGGCCGGAGCCTGGTGCACTGGGCTAGCCTTTAGTGAGCTAAAGCAAGCAGCTTCAGCTATTAAATCAATACTAAATCCGACATAGATAATAATTGTACAAAATTTCCATAAAACCTAAAGAAAGTCTTTAAGCTATGTATGGTAGCATGAAATTGATGCCTTAGTTGGAAAATAAATAGTTTAGAATTTGAATTAACTTTTCTTTAATTCCAATTTCAAGGTACCAATTCCACATCCAAAACTCTAATTCCACACAACCAATATCACAAACACTATATATGCCTATGTAAAAAAGCAGAGCTGTTGTAGCTTCAATACCTGTCCAGACGAGAAGAAAGCCGGTGAATCAAGCAAGCTAGCAGGGCTCAAACCAGGAGGTACCGTAAACATGGCCGAATCAGAAACCGACAAACCGGACGGCTGGTTCTGCCTGAACCGGAAACTGTCGCCGCCGGCACCATTGGCCTCTCTGTCGTTGGAAGAAGAATCCTCCGCAGCAAAAAAGCTCGGCCGGTGGACGGGAATCGCCGCCGGAGACGCCATGGCTCCGGCGAGCAGCTGAGAGAAAGAGCGGCACTCCGATTCCGGATCGTTTTCGGAGAATAAGCCGGCGACCAAAGTCATCGGCCCCGGGCTCGCCCCGGCCCCACCTGTGAACAGACTCTCCATCGTTGAACGTGGCGGGAGAGTGATCGTGGGGCGGAAAGGAGCCGACAAAGCTCTTGATGATGATCCTTCGTTCTCAGCCATTGATGTCGATGGAGTCTCAGCCTTCTGACTCTGGTCTCTTTTGATTCTTTAGTTGAAGTTATTCATAAGTTAGACCTCTGGAACAGTTGAAGACGAAGTATGTCTCTAACTTTCTCTCTCTACTTTTTGGTTTGAGGATCTGAAATTCAGTAAAAAGTCCACCAAGCAGATGAGAACAAGGGGAGTTCAGTGTTGGCTCAGGAATTATATAAAAATGGAAATGAAGATGGAGTGAGGATGCCATGATGTAAAATTTGAATTGACTATAATGTCCCCGACGACTTGCGAAACTACGGGATTACCATTGGCATTTGCCGTTTGGAATCGACAGTCTGTATTTGGGCAACAAGTGGCCACGACGACGAGGGACTCGCTTGCCATTTTGACAAAGAACAGTGAACGTGGTGTTATAACTTACAAAATCAATAGTTGACTATATTTTTAGTGAAATGTAAGGACTTTTGCTTGGTAAAGCAATCAATGTGACCTTGAAATGTTGAGCAATATCTGTCACATATATTTCATTCTTTGTCCCCGTTCAATTTATTTATTTTTTAGGTTTGCTATATATGCAGTCTTCTACTCCTTCATCCACATCAATTTTTTTAAAATCGGATCGCTCTCAGGTTGGTCAAAACATTTTCTTGAGGTGGTTTCAAAAGCCACATCAATTTTTTTAAAATCGGATCGCTCTCAGCTTTTCATGTTAAACATGTTCTTATTTTTATTTTCCCCGTAACTTAAATTTTATTACTTTCTTATATTTGGTAATTTCTATAATAATAATAAAATTAAATAAATATTAAAATTCATACTCTTAAAAAGTTGGATTCCCACGAAACTGATTACAGAATAATGCCCAAATATCCATAAATATTAGTTACCAAAAATAGTAACTTTTTTTTTTCTTTAATTAGAAAAAAACTTTATATGAAAGTAGAATTCTTTTTTCCTTTTTTGGGTAGACCGGTTTAGTGGAGACCTGACTGAACCCAAGTCCAGCCCGCGGTCTTGAATGGTGCCTTAAATATCTAAAGTGTTATTGAGTCCAAGCTGAAGCAAAGCTAGCACAGTCGTGGAAACCCGAAATGGAAGAGGAGGATCAAATGAAGCAGCAAAGCACATCCATCAACTCCACTACTGATACTATCAATCTAGCCAAACCGATCCGTTGCATCGTCAAACTAGGTCAGCAATCTTCACTTCAATTTAGTATTTTCACTAGTAGCAATTGGTTTTCGTACATGTAATCATCCACAAATCGAGCTAGAAAATGCAATCTGAACTCTGAAGTCCGACTTTAATTTGATCTATATACGGAAGTCCGACTCTGATTGGATCTGTATATGTATGTGTGTGTATATATATATAATTATACATATATGTGTAAATACGGAAGTCCGACTTCGATTTAATCTCTGTGTATAAAATTATATTTGTGTGTGTAAAATACACAAATAGATAGAGATACTAAGACTGATATGGACGCATATACATTTAATTTACAGAATCGAGCAACGGAGCAAGAAATGCAATTCGATGTGATCGACTTTCTTATTTTACTATTCTTAGACTTTGATTTGATATATGACATATACAGTGTGTGTATATAGAGAGAGAGAAACGAAGACGAGCATGAAATGCAATCTGATGTGATCGACTTGCTTAAACTACTATTCTTCGACTTTCATTTGATGTATGACATATATATATATATATATATATATATATATATATATATAAGAAATGCTCTTAAGAGGACCACCATAATGGCCATGAACAAGACTAATTATTGTAGATGTCTCTTCACAATAATTGTGATGGAGAAAATACCAATTCAAATTTAACCAACAGTTTTTTTGAGATGTGTGAAAAGTCAATTCAATTATTTAATCATCTAAGTTTAAAAAAAAAAAAATAGGAGAGCTCATGGCTCTTTCCATGAGAGAGACCTCTTAGGAACTCTATATATAGAGAGAGACTTGTGCACAAATTTGCGTATTATTGACATTTTTTTTTTTAACATATATAAATTAAGGAGGTGCGGCAATTACTTGCAAGAACGAGTTAGAGAAGATAAATGAAGAAAATCTCAAAATGGTTTGCTTCCATCTGCAGCAAGTGATGATGTTGGGTTCTTCTTCTGGGAAGGTTACTGGGATGGATTGGAGCAAGCGTCCCGGGTTTTCGGAAGCATCATGTTCTGTTGATGATTTCAGTGATGAACGAGTATTGGATTCTAGCGGTGTCGTTATTGTTCATGGAGCAGGTTGCTTATTTAGCTCATTTAAGGTCAATTGGTCTTTGCTTTATATGTTTAAAATATATGGTGATACTGTATGAGTTAAAGATATTGAATTCAGATTTAGCTTATTGGGTCAGTGATTTAACTTATTCTCTTAACTTATTTTAGTGTGTAACATAGCTCAATATCATGCACTTCTGCATTGATTGAGTTTACATTATTATTTGCTCGCTTTAGGTTCTTTTGGGCACTTCCAGGCTAGCAAATCTGGGGTTCATAAAGGAGGATTGAACAAACCTCTTGTCAAGGCTGGTTTTGTTGCTACACGTATTTCTGTGAGTTTTGCAACCTTTACTTTGTTTCTTCTTCTAGACTTAGATTCATCCTTTGATTTGTTTGTATCCATGATTTCAGGTTACGTCGCTCAATCTTGAAATTGTTAGAGCCTTGGCCAGAGGTACACATATGGTCAATAAAAAATGCAACTGTTATGTCACAATCCTGTTTTCCGCCTCTATATTGTTTGCATTTCTGCTTACTAGGTAATTCTAATTAAATTATGACGTGTTTGTGATAGGATCTTTTCCAAAGAAGTCAGAATTCCAATTTCAGTCCCCTATTTGTTAAATACAGACGCCTAGTAGGCATTTCCCACTTCATAGTGGTTCATCAAAAACCAGTATGATATTCAGATTCATGGATAGGAAGTAACTAGGAGCTGGCAGAAGTTGACTAGATTACAAGCCATGGCTATAAACTTAAATTACTATGCTTACATGTTTGTGCATGTGTATCTGTGTGTGTTGAGATGCATACAAGTTTTGTTTACATGGGTTTGTATTAATAAGCCTCCTCATGGTCGCTAGAGTTCAAGAAATCACACCAATTCTCTCCTCCCTATTAACTTTATTATCCAAAACTTATAATGACAGAAAAGTTAGAATTTTCAAGCATCTGGAAGGGGGTTTAAAACTATTGGATACAGAACTCTCTTTCTTTTTCTTTTCCTTTCTTCTTTTTTTTTGTAGTACTCGTCGGGTAAATCTGAGAGATCAAACCTGATGCAGTTTCAGATCAATGATTCATATCTGTGAAATAGCCTCGGGCTATCGTGCGTTGGTTTCAACATCTTTTCGTGTCAATTTGAAAATTTTGAGTCAAGTAGAACCTTCAAGTCTTTGACCCAGCCTCTGCTTTAAGATCTTAGTAATGTGTTATCTCACTCCTGTATTAGCACAATAATGTTTATTCACCTCCAGGAATTTAGAATTAGGTGTTACGTGTTAATGTTATATGACCTATTCATTACATGCCTGCTATTATCAGCATTAACAACCCTACTCATACTAAATGTCGTCTGGACTACAAGGATTCACTCTAATAAATGTTTTGGTTTTTCTTGCAGAGGGTATTCCTTCTATTGGAATGTCTCCATTTTCGTGTGGATGGTCAACTTGTGAAAGAGATGTTAGTACACGTCTAGAAACACTGTATTTGTTGAATTATATGCATCAAATGTGGGAAATTATTGTTTTAGTGTTTCCCTTAGTATTGGGAACATTCCCTGTTAGTAGTACCCTAAAGCCTAAAATCTAGACTTGTATGCAGCTACCCTCAGCTGATGTGTCTATGGTGGCTAAAGCTATCGACTCTGGTTTTGTACCTGTAAGTTTGAATTATTTTAATTACCTTTGAGATTTTGAAGCTTGATCTTGTTAAATGCTTTTGCTCATTTTTGTGTTTCTTCTACATGAAATATGAATGTTCATGTTTTTACGTGAAATATGAACCAGAAATAAGTAGTTTCAATCAACTTGTTCATATTTAGAACTTCTGAGAACTTGTCATCATTCTGTGTTTGCTGAACTGATTTGTACTATTTATCTGCATCATACCTCCATACTCAAGTTATTTGAGCTTGCTATTTTCTTTCTACCATGTTTGCTTGCGAAGAAATGTTCATCGTATGTATCAACATTATTTTGAGGTGGAAAACACAATTTTGGAACCATCATAAAAGTTTTATTTTTTAGTACATATTTATCTTTCTATCAGTTTTGCATGATGGAACAATCCCTCGCATTAATGTATTGTTGTGGGGACCTTAATGACTATATTGTCATTAATTTGGATATGATCACTCTTTGAATGAACCATTAAAAATAGAAAATAAAAAAAATTGAAGATTTCAAAATAAATCAATTTACTTTTTTTTGGCTGTACTCTTCTATGTTAGTTGTTATTATTTTATCTTTTGTTGTCTTATTTCCTTTGGCATTGGCATGGTAATATGGTATTTGTTATTTGACATTCTAGGTTTTGCATGGAGATGCAGTACTTGATGGTATACAGGTTTGATCTCTTTCATTAGGTCGTCAGCTTCTTGGTCATCTGGTAATTGATATTGACATGTACTTTATAACTTTATTAAATCAGGGTTGCACCATATTGAGTGGAGATGTGATCATACGTTATCTTGCAGCGCAACTAAAGCCTGAATACGTTGTTTTTCTTGTATCCACTGTCTACTGAATGATTTCTAATATGCTTTTGTATCTTTGACATGGATATGTGAGTTGTTACCAGACGCGAGTGGAAGTAAAATTGATTAGGAAGCAAGGTGGTTAGGCTTGGGGTACTAAGTTGGATTGATGGAGGGGGAATGTGGATTGTAAGATCCTAAAAAATGAGGGGGAAAACTAAAACTATATGTATAGATGAAAAATCCTTGAAACAAACAGAGAACATGTCTATTATGCAAAAGAGAAAAATGTAGAAATATTATACGGTCGTATGAAATATGTATTTATGTACAAGTTCATCCAAGTAAATATGAGAGTGTAGCTAAAAGAGGTAGAGCCCTCAATCAGTATTACAATATTACAATTTACAAGTAATGCATGGAGAGTCAAGATTTGAGTTCTTGTATTCTCGTTGTTTTTCCTCACAAAAGATCCGAGTTATTTAACACTAAAACTATTTCATAATAAAAGAAACCAAGATATATTTTTTACACAATCTACTAAATACTCATTACATACTACATAACCACACTTATGACAAAAGGTGGAAAACCAGTTAACGTTCTTAATAGTTCCAACTTCCAACTACCATGACAAAACATAAAAATTACAATTTTTAATGCCCGAACAATCCAATGGCAATTCCAATATGGTCATATTGCAATTATACGATTTTGAATGATCCTGTCCTAATCCCACCATGATCATATCGAGGACGATATTCAATATAGAATTGGTGCATGCTTTGATAGTTTGATTCTAATTGCTGTCTATGCATCTGAACCAAACCTTCAAATTATATGTTCAATGCGCCTGGATTTTTCCTGTTGGGGAACGCCCACGTCCTACACTATATTCTTTTAAAACTTAGAGTATACTTTCAAGAGATGGAAGTCAAACATGCTTTGTACTTAAAATCATCTTCGACCACCTTGTGTATGTTACCTTGTTTCTTTCATATTTATGTTGTTAGGCAATGCCCCAATTTATAACTTGCAAGTAGGTTTGTCCATGCATCTCGAGATCTGGATGACTCGCGTCAATTCCGCTATGGTAAATTTATTTTTCTTCCTTGGTCCAACTTTTTGAAATGAGTCATTTTTTGTCATTTTATTATGACTAGAACCATAATTTTAGTTAAGCTATACACGATCAAATGTATCACTGTATATATCAAGTTGGCTCTCCAAATATCTTGTCTGGCATAATCTCACATCTCCTTGTGTTAATAACTGTTCACGTATCATCTTTTAATCCTTGCGGAAGCAGCTTTTTATGCATGTTATCCTATACAATGCGGGTTGAAGACAGACGTTTTAGGCGTATATGACCGTCCACCAACAGATCCTAATGCAGTACTCCTCAGGGAGATTGGTAAGGAGCCAGTTTAAAATTTAAACCCCAGATTTTTGCAACTGATGGGCCTGATTTTGCATATTTTAAATTGAACAATTCTGTATGTAACAGCTGTTCGTGAAAATGGGAGCTGGTATGTAGAGAAACCAACATTACCAAACATGAATGGTCAGTAAAGGATACTTCTTTACATCATTATATTGATTAATTAAAAAGGTCGCCAACATTTGAAAATTGAAAACTTATTCTACTCTGCATTGCATTTGATTTGATTTTTATTCCCCTTTTTTCTTGAAGCATAATAGCACTTTAATTTTTTTTTTTAGCACTTAAATTAAACATGGGCATCCAAAGGTATTCATGGTATGACTTCTTTTAATTTTTTTGCCGTCATCTGTGGTGATTGTTCCGATTTCGATGATCCCTCAATCGATCACTCTCTTATGGAGGATGAAATCATGCCTTCACAACAGCTCAGCTCAACTCAACTCTAACCAAGTATTTTTCCAGCTACCTGGGATCGGCTACATAAACCTTATTTTTCCATTATCATGGCCATAACAAACCACGTGTTACCTTCAACAACTAAGAACGAAAATGTGTGTGAACCCCATCTGAGATCTAAACCGCATCGAATACTTAAAATGCTGATTATCTGGACTAAACATAGGATGGTTCTGGCCATTGAAAGAAATGGTAAATCGCCAGTATTATACAGTTAAAACTTAAAATGTCATATCCGCTGCCACTTCTCGCTTATAGTTGATAATTTTAAATTCAGAAATTCACCCCTTTTTCCCTGTTTTTGTTGTTGTGGTTGTTAGAGATAGGTATATGGGGTTTTCTCTCATTTAAAAGAATGGAAATCTGATTCAAATCCTTACTCTGTTGTCATCAGCAGTTGAGTTTACTGTAGCAGACCATGACACTACAGGGGGAATGAATACAAAAATATCAGAAGCCGCGATGATTGCAAAACTTGGAATCGATGTCTACATTGTAAAGGTAACGAGTGACTCTTGGCCATGTCCTGCTATAATCTCATTTCTTCTGCTAAACTTCTCAGTCGAGAACTCGTGTACACTATCGGCTACTTGCAGGCGGCCACAGAACACTCGTTAAAGGCCCTAAGCGGGGAATTGAAGGACAACATACCAGAAGACTGGCTTGGAACAGTCATCCGGTTTCTGAGATAAAAGAGATGGGTTCCTAAAGTTATGTATTCTCATGGAAGTTGGTCCTTAAATAGGATAAGGAACACAAGCAGGAGGATACCAGGTGAACCTACATGCAAGGTTCCAAATTGGCTTGGACTTGCTTTATTCCCTTGAAATCAGTCACTAATTGGTTGTCCTGTTACTCCTGTAGCTTGCTCATACTGTCTGTCTTCTTCGCTTTGATTTCTCAAACCCATTCGACGGAACTGGAACTATGCCTTCTCGGCTCACTAATTATTCCTTTTTTGCATGCAGCTTTGGTTGTTACATTGGCTGGGTTTGGAGTACCATGTGAAGCATTTAACTTGATGTTACGATACCCGAATTGGTTTTTTAAGTTAGTCTCTCTCTCCTTTTTAAGTGTTTGGTTCAATGGTTGATACTAGAGACTTTTTATCATTTTTTCCCTTTCAACATTTGTTCCAACTTATTAGGCAGGTAGATACCAGTGTATTTTTGTGGGGTCAGTATATGTGTTCCACAATGTGGCCTACTACATTTTCTTCAGATGTTACTAAAGAATTTACTAATCCATACCCACTCTATGCTCTTCAATTGTTAAAAGGAATAATCACAGAAATCTTGTGAATTTGAAAGACGGAAAGAATTAAATGCACGATAGCTTGGGTAATGACACGTTGGACTAAAGTTCTATGATACATTATGTATTCAGTTGGGCTAAAGCCCTGTCAGAGAGTTGATAGTTGACCTCATATTGCTCAACGACGAATCTATTTTGTAACAAGTTGTATTGATTACTAAAATTATTAGAATGAAAAACTATATTAAAACAGATATAATGTCTCAATAATATTTATTTAATAACCAATATTTTATATATGAAAAGTGTACTTTTGGTGTTTTTTGGGCTTTGGAGCAAAGTAAGTATACGGGACTGTTGCTCACCCTTTTAACAAAAAAAAAAAAATGGTATACGAGACTGTTGATATTAAATACATGCGTAGTGCCTCGCCAACAAACAAGCTTTTCCAACTAGTGGGCTAAATGTTGCCCTGTTTTTCCATTCTAGTCACATTTTACCATCATTTTCTTTACTATACACTTACGTTTTTTTTATTATTTTTTTTTATTTTTATTATTATTAATTTTTTTTTTATTCCTTAACCCTGTGTTGATTTCTTGTCTTGTCTCACAATACACATAATTCTTGGCTATTCTACCAAGGACCTCGTTGCCTAAAATTATCTCTCCTCTAACTCCAAAAGTATGTGACAATAAGGCAAATGGGGGGGAAGGAAAAAAAGAAAAAAAGGGTTAATTTCACTTATACCCCTTAAACTATGCTGATATTTCACACACACTCCCTCTATGTTTCATAATTCCATCTACACCCACTGTCAATAACCCTCTATCAGTAACCGCTGTCTAATTTATCAACGGAAATGTATAATTTTACTATTTTACTCTTTGATTATAAATTGAAATTTATAATGGGATAATTTCACTAACCTCCTGAAGTTAGGTGTAATTACAGGCAGTATTCCTTACGTTTCAAAAATTACACTGACCTCCCTTCAATGTTATCGCCGGTTATTTATGTTAGATTTTTTTGTGAAAGTACTAATATACCCCCATATTATATTAATAATGATAATTAATTGTCAAATTACTTTTTTACCCTAATAATTTTTTTTTCCCCCTAAAATAGAGATTTCTTTTTGTTTCGTTTTTTTTTCTTTTTTCTTTTTCCTGAAGTTTTACCTCCTTGAGCCCTAGATTTGCCGAACATATAGTCTTCACTGCCACCATCTGCATAGCCGACACAACAAAACCACCATCTGCACCGCTACCACGACAGCCATAGCCACCACCACCGCCATAACACAATTACTTACCTCCGATGATGCCATGGAACAAAAGCAGTGACATCTCCAGCAGGTAACAGAGGCTTGCAAGTGTGGATCATGCAGGGCTTTTTCGGGACGGTCGATGACGATGCCGAAAGAGCCGTTTCCGGCCAGTTCAGCGTCTTTGATGACCTGAATTTCATCTAAGACGGCGGACGGAGAGTTACGGCACCTGGATCTGACCCACACCACTGAAGTTGGCTGGTGGGCCGGTGGCTGTTGGCTGCTGCTCGGTCGACGGCGAGCACGGGACGTCAGAGACTGACGTCACATGAGACGCGTGGACTTAACGCGAGTTACAGTTGCCGGCGAGTGGTTGCGCGTGGCATCAGCGATATGTGGCGTGTTTGGCACTGTCTAAACGAAGCTTACTGATGTGGCTCTGTGATTGGTGGACTACGGCAATGAAGACTGGAAGATTAATTTGGACTATGGATTCAGCTCATTGGATTTGTTGGAAAGATGGGTTCCCGGCATAACTCGTCAACGAGAAGCACCCAACTGATTCTTTATTGAATGACCTATCTCTAGTTTGTTTTTCCCCAATTTCCTTTCTTCATGTTGTGTGTGTATATAATATTTATGCATATATAGATCAAGAGAGAGACAGTTATGGTAACCAATGTATATACATGTATATATGTGTGTATATATATAGTGACCAGTATATATTTATATATATATATATATATAGAGAGAGAGAGAGAGAGAGAAGAGCTAGTGTGGATTATGCAGGGCTTTTTTGTCTTTTTATTCTGGGTATATGGGTTATTTTAATACAAAAGTAAGGGTAAAAATGTCTTTACAAATATAGTAAGGGCAAATGTGGTATTACATAGTTAAAAAGTGCTGATGTCATCAAAAATTATCTTTGACCGGCATTGACTTTCACCGGAGGGGGCTAAGTGTTACGACAGAGCAAACATTGGGGAAGGGCGGTGTAATTTTTTAAACGTTAGGAGTACCGCTTGTAATTAGACCTAACCCCAAAGGAGGTAAGTGTAATTATCCCATTTATAATTAAAGGGAAAAAACTTTAACACCATTAAATTTCTCTCTCTACTCACACACATACACACACACACACACTATATATATATATTCTTTTCTTTTTCTTTTTTTCTTTCTTCTTCATTATTGCCGGCGACGAAGAAACTATGCCACCGATGGAATACACAGCAACCACAAAAAAAGATGGTTCTTATCACAGCCAAGCCATTCTCCTTACTGCCCGCCGTTCAATTGCAAGGACAGTTCACTGCCCTCCGTTCAATTGCAAGGACAGTTCACTGCCCTCCGTTCAATTGCAAGGACACACCGCCGTTCGACCTTCAGTCCTTACTCCATTGCGAGCTTTCACTGGATTGAACTGAACTTCGCTGGAGTTGGGATCGCTAGACTGAACTGGGTGAAGTGATCTCTGGCGAGTTAAAAAACTGATCTTGCCGTTTCTCCACCTCGACCTACCACCACCACGGTCGACCACCAACCACCATCCACAATCACCCTTTGCAAACAACACCACTAGCAGACCCAAGATCCAATTGCGACAAAAAAAAAAAAAAAAAAAACGGTGTAGTTGTAAGGTCTGTTTGGGAGAGCAGAATGAAGATTGATGAAATCGAAGGAGGTATCTAAGTCTTCAACCCAAAATCTGAATCATGTGAGGAGGTTGTATCGACAACAAGAAGATCGGACCCGATGGCAGTGCATGACTGCCGTCACCCTTCAGCAATTTGAGTCATAACCTTGCCGGAAAACTCCATCTCCATTGATCTCAAGGTTCATAAACAATCAGCTCACCGCCGACAATTCCTCCCCCGAAACTCACCTGATCTCGCCGGAAACCCAACTCCATTCATTATTATTTTTCTTTTTTGTCTCCAAATCAAATCAGGAAAAAAAAAAATTAGGATGAAAATCTAAAGATAAAACGCATCCCAACATTGACTGGATGTGCTGGTCTCTGTTTTTGTTTTGATAAAACAATTCAATAGAACATAATTAATCATTTGTATGTGTTTTCTTCTTTTTATCTATAACCATCGTGAACCAGCGACGAAGAAAGAGAGGGTTAATGGCGAGATTATTAGAAACACAAAGAGATTTCCAAAAAAAAAATTCCAACTAGAGAGATTTCTAGTTGAGAAAGGGAGGGTTCTACATCGAGAAGGAGATTTCAGTTCAGAAAGATACAGAGAATATTTTCAGCAAAGAAGGGGATTTTAGATCATACGGTAAATTCTACGATGACTACATAGACTTGTTTGGTCACCATCTTTTGAGTGCGTGGATTAATACTGTGGGCTCAATTCCGGCGACTTACAAAGTTGAAGCAATCAAGCAATCAGTTAAACTCGTTGAGTTTATAAGTTAAGGGTAATTTTGTAAATTTGCATTGGTAAATGAGGTTAAAAATGTCATTTTAAGTATTGGAAGGACAAAATTAACCTTGTACAGATTTGTTCATGCTTACACCGTCAGTTGCTTAATAAGGAGGTAAGTGGAATTATGTTTATTATGAAACATAGAGGGAGTGTGTGGAATATTAGCATAGTTCAAGGGGGTGTAGGTGGAATTAACCCAAGAAAAAAAAAAAACATTTCTAAGATTTCCATCTCCTGAAAGAAAATCTGTAATCCTAGGGGTCAAACATAGATCCCTCATTAGAGTTGGAGCATTAGAAGTAAATGGATAAACCCCATCTTTATACCGGCTATCTAAGGTTCAGCTTGCTTAAAAAATGGAACCTAAAAATCGATATAAGCAGCAACTATGGCGTAAAACAGAACAGAGCAAGATTTCCAACCAAAAACCTACTCTATTATCCAAACAACAGACCTCCAAGATACCAAAGAGCCTCTACCCAATGGAATGATCTTTCCATCTCAGAGGGGGACATGTATGAGAGGAAGTGAATCGAAAGAAAACAAAATGACATTAAAAGAGGCGACAAATACAAAGGATAATGAGAATACTATAAATTGCAATTGCACAACAGATAAAAGGAGCAAAAAAGATGTATACACCATCTTGGTGGCAAATTCGTTTCACAGCACCATAAAAATAGAGACATGGTTCATGCAGTAATATAACAGAACAAAATCGTCCATTATGCAATCCTTAATAGATAATAAAGACAAGTATCTCTTAATAGTTGAGGAGCATCCCATCCGAATGTTCCACAAAATGGTGTCCCATATTAAACCCCTTAGTAAGTTACCATAATTTGAAATTTTTAAGCCCCAATCATTGTCTATAACTTGAGAAATTTACTTGGGGCCAATATCCTTAAGGGCGTTGATCTGCTCCTCTCCCATGGCAGACATCACAGACACAACAAGGTCTTTTCCGTCAGCAAATCCATCCTTGATCTGTAATATATTCAACAATTACAATTACTCGTAGAACATTTAGTCGTTCAGACAACAAAAAGAATAAAATAATTAAAATAAATTCATCAAGAAACTAAAGCAAGTTGTGAATTTCAATAAGAAAAAAGTCGCAAAAAAAAAGATCATCAGATACAGGGCTGGAGTTATGACACCAAAACAAATCAACCACATTGAAATACTACTGTAAATATCCAAGTGGAAGTATGCATCTCATACGCCTCAATAAAAGTTAACGCTAGAATGAAAATACCAAGATTTGATATTCAGACCGCAGATATCAGTTATCACCCCTATATAATCTTAAAATGCTTTAACTATAGAATTAACATAGCAGATCTGCATTAACAAGCAATGACATTGGTTTCAAATTCAAAGGTAGCATATGCAATCAGTGTTATTGTAAACAGACCGGACTAGCGGATCTGAACCCTCCTCAACTCCACTTCAGTTCATTAAAAAAACATAAAAGAGTTACTAAAAAGAAAATCAGAACAACTAATAAAAACCCATTCAACATTTGGACCAGCCAGTTCGAGAAAGAGAATGATAATATGCCTGTTATGTATTATTGTTATTGCCATTATTTCAGGTTATACGTAGTAAGTAGAACATTTTCAGACAAATATACTGTATTGAAGGAATGAAAGAATGATAACACTGTAAAATATAAGAAGTATAGTAGATGTATCTTAAACTTCAGGTTTGGCGTTCTTGCGTGTGGGAGGTGTCGCATCCTAGTCTAAACGATCCTTGTTGATTATTGCATTCTAAACCATGGGAGTCAAGTGCTTTATGCAGGATACCATTAAAAAAAAATACCAATCTATTGGCAGAAGCTACGATCCTAATATTCTATAATGGACTGTTTAAATTGCCAAAAGGGCGGAAGATCTCAGAAGCCGAGAAATGAAGAATTGCAATCCCTATCTAAAGACACCAAGGAAGGTACTAAACAAAATAATTTTCAGAGGAAGTAACCAAATTTCAGTAAATACAGTCAACCAACTTTAACCAAAATCCCAAATTACCTCTTTATTTCCCACAGTAACCAGGTAAAAAGAAAGGACTCAACATTTTTTAATCATCCAGCTGATACACACTTCTAACACGAAAACAGAGCTTGAGACAAATCCGGACCAGTTGATGTTACTTGCTACACTTGCAATGATTAGACTACTAAAGTACACAATCTAATATTTTAACACAACCAATATGTAAGCACTAGAATAACAAAAGCTAAAAGGGAGAAGGGCATACTTTTCAAGCAGTATATATTTTACACAGTTAGCAACAAATCGTAAACAAATGCTTAGAATGGGAATGATATGGACCCATCTGTACCCAGTATCCCAACTGCATATAGCTTCACGAATTTAAGAAGACTAGGAAAAGATTAACATATAAACTATAAATACAGAATACATAAAATAACTCATAAATATTAATTGATAAACTATTAAAAGCTGGAAAAATACAGCAATTCAACCCCATGGCACACCAACATATACAATTGTTTTTGAAAAACACAGAGATATAAAATTATAGATTAGCATATGTAATAACATAGACAACCACATTCTCTAACCTGCGAGAGCAGATTATCATCGGTTGGAAGCCTTAGGTCATCCTTGGTATTACCATTCTCAGTCAGCAGACTCACCTGAAACATTTGGCAGAATTATCAGACCAATATATTCACAAAAAGTAACACAGGCAATCAAACAAGATAAAGTTGGTAGGTACAAATCCATCCTCAGAAATGTCGATCAGCTGGTAGTCAGTGCGGTTGACATGGGGAACCTGTAATTCAAAAACAAACATATTAAGGTCCTAACAGGAAAAGAGACAAAATGCAGCACACCGGAACAACATAAAAATGATTAAAAGGAAATAAAAAATAAAAGTATTACATCACAGTTGTGGGAAGAGGGAACGATATCTTCAAGCTTTTTTCCACTGAAAATGTCAATTCCAACGAAATGACATTTAGCATGACCATGCTTGCCAGTTTTGGAAGTTGAGACCTCCACAACCTGTTTCGGAGAGAACAATATAATTAGACAGTCCTAAAATATGTCAGCAGCTCCTGGTGACTGCAAAAGGTTCAAGCAAGACAGGAATTCAATAAACAAACTCACTGTTTGAGAATTGTATAGCTAAAAATTAAAAAATAAGGGAAACAGTCTTCCTTAGTCCATGAACGCGAATATATATATATATATATATATATATATATATATATAAGGACAAGCCACATAATAGGTTATATTATTTATGGCAATCAAGTTTACAGAAAAACAAAGTGATCGCAAAATTATTTACTTCTTACCCTTCTAGCAAATTTTAAACGACTTATTGGCTAAAACTCAATTAGGCAATCTAATTTTTACACAATTGATTGTATGACTATGTTCCACCATAAGACAACTGACACAATTTTTAATGGAGCAAAACCAGAGAGCATTAACTGCAAGAAAACCACTCTTGAAAAAGATGGAACTGACTCGCCCTTGCCATGAAAAAAAAAAAAAAAAGAAAAGAAAAGAAAAAAGAGACAGTAGACCAGGAAAAAAAAAATTTCTACCCAGCAAATCTTCAAAAAGATGGTGTCTATAAAACAAAAATAGAGGCAAAGAAACAAAAGAAAGGCTGGAGTGAATTTTTATATTTTTTTTTACGAATGCAATATTGTCTTTTACACTAGATCTGAACTTTAGAAGGAAAAAAATTACAATCGAACAATATGTATTGGGCTTGCGCATATTCAGTCCGAGACAAAAAAAAAAAAACCCCTAGCATCACGATCATATATACTTCCACAAACGTACTTTTGGAGATCCAAAACAAAACCTAGAACACACAGATCTAAAAGACGATATATATATACATGTGTGTGTGTGTGTGTGCATGTATATAGAAAAGTATAGAGATCGAGAAGCTAATAAGAAAGGGAACCTTGCAAGGTCTGTTTTTGATGACAATGTAACCGTTCTTGCGAATGGTGCCAGCCTGCTGAGGATAGGTCTTCGAAGCTCCGGCGTCGGCCTTCGACTCGAAGTGGTGCTCCTCGTCCGACATGCCTTCTTCTTCTTCTTCTTCTTCTAGAGAGAGAAAATTGATGTGAGAGAGAAAGTGTGGTTATATTATGCAGGAGCAAATTGGGATTTTTCTATTTAGGGTTTTCTGAAACTCGCTACTACAGTACATAAAAGGTATTGTGTCGGGTTGATCTCAGCCGTTGGATTCAATTTGCGAATTATGAAATATTAAAGTGGGAATATTCTCATCGATATATCTATCTCTTTTGTTGCGTTAAAAGAACGCTGACCGGACCTCACGAGGAGTCGGAATCCGCACGTGGGCTGCTAAGGTCCCACACTCCTACATTAAATGGATTAAATTTTTTATTTTTTACTTTTGGCACTAAATGGATTAATTGAATTGTGCTCCTTTTTTAAAATAAAAATAATTGACATCAATTTAATCCAACTAGAAATTGATTACTTTTGTTTTGTAGTTTTCATTTTTATACCAAATATGTTTCACATTAATAAATTGGGAAAAAAAAAAATTTCAAAAAATGATTAATTCACGATAGCGAAGAGTACCACCGTATATATTTAACGTATGAAAATAAAGAGTCAAAATTGTGTTTAAATGCTCTAATAACTCAACGACTTGAAAGTAGAGAATCAAAGTTGTGTCTAAACTCACCAATAATTCAACAATCTGAAAGTAGAGAGAATTAAAATTGTCTAAATGCACCAGGACTGTTTGATAATGCATTCAATAATATAAAAGTGGAGAGTCGAAGCCTTGTTTAAATGCACCAATAATTGAACGATTTAAAAGTGGATAATCAAAGTTGTGTCTAAATGCACCAACACCGTTCAGGGCATTCAACAACCTGAAGGCTTCGCCAAGTGAATCCAAGTTGAATGTATTCAACACCCTGAAATATAATTAGTCTGAAATTTACTTTTCCCTCTTAATTTAGGCCTTATAGTTGGTGCAATTTCAACAAATGAGTTTGCTTATTGATCCATAAAGGGACTTGGAAGAGATCACAGGACAAATTTTGTGCCTCAAAACTCTCACAGTTTGCCGCAACTTAAAACTAATTAAGACAATATTTGTTCATTTCTTTAAATATAATATATTTATTTAAATATAACATATTAATTCAATTAGATTTGTTTTTAAAATATTACTCCAATAATAATACTAGTTCCCAATCATTTAAAGATCGGCAAAAATAATTGATGGAATTTCCTTCTCTGTCTTCCCTCTCTCCAACACCTATATTAATTAGTCTGAAATTTCTTCCAGTTTCATCACAGCATCGATCCGAGAGGGAGAAAGAGACAATGAATATGAGAGAGGAGTTGATTTTGTAATTTTGATTGAATTGAATTAATATTGTAACTCATTTGGCGAGGTGAAATCAACTACAAAAATAAATAAAAAAAGAAACATAATGTTTTCATACTGCTTATTTTCTCTCAAAATTTTTCTTGCACATAATACAGAGAAATAATAAGTGCCTTTTTTATTTGGCATTTCTATTTTACCCATTAACTTAATCTTGCAAAATAATTTCTTTCTTTATTACAAGTTCTCTACGAAACAAATATTTTTTTTTTGTTTTCTCAAAATTTATATAAAATTGGCAACAACAACATACAATCAAATTGTTTTTTTTTTTTTTTAATTTCGTTTCTCTTAAATTAATAATTAGTTCTAATTTTACCTAAGAAAATATTATGACGTCTTATTTTAAATATAAATAATTCTATTATTAAATTTAATAATCATTTTACTATTTCTTCGCTAAAAACATATATCATCAAAGACAAACTCATTTATTTTTTAGTATTTGAAATCATAAGGGTAATTTTGGTATGTTCAATCACTTTAATTTCACTTTTATGCTATCCAAAATAACAAATTAATATTTCCTTACAATTTTCTTGAATAAATTTTCATGATTACCCACATGCATACTAAAAAATAAATTTTATTTTCATTCACTTCATTTTTCTTTCATTTTTTATTAAATTTCTTTTTTTTTTTTCTTACTTATTTTCATCTAACCAAATGAAACCTTAAAGAGATATATTGTATTTAAAACAATCCGCAATTGTTCCCTTAATTAGTTTTAGGTTTGCTGCCAACTGTACACGAGGGGATCCCTGGTCCGTAAATAACACATAAACATTATAACGACTTAAATACTTGATAAAAATCTTTTAAAAAAACGTTCACATTCCTTTTTAGGGAAGGAAATAGAGGCTTTAAAGTTCAAAATTTTGGTCCTAATAACGTATGTCCAATTTCGAATTTTCAACCAGTTAGAACAAAAATCAGATGGACTCCTCATGAATTATCGTGTGTTTCACTAATAATTGCCCATTAAAAGCATTTGAGATATCAATTTAAACCGGGATCCTCAATGGAGGGTGGAGATCAATTTACACAAATTAAAGTGATCTCTACCATTCACATGTGCAGAGCACCGTGCTGTGCATAGAATCAGATTCGAGTCCAAATTGATGTGATTCGTAACCCATAAGTGATGAATGACAACTAGTTCGGTAAACAACTTGCTACATCAAGTCCATAAATATGAGAAGCTACCAGGCATGTCCAAAGTTACAAATATTTGCTTGCTTACCAAAAAAAAAAAAAAAAAAAAACAAATTAACAAACAAATAACTCTGCTAAAAAGTCAGAGGTAAGAAGAATTTTACACCAAAAACAATACATCAATAATTTAGAATGTATGATCAGAAGCTGATTAGTAGGCAGTGTGTCATTTAACTAGTTAAATACTTAAATCAAGAACATTGTACACCAAGAATGATTCCTAAAATTGTACACAGCTACATGCCATTCCTTTACTTGTTGCCCCAAGAAGTAGCGTGTTCGCTGTGATTATAGTTGATACAACATTTCCTCATTTATTACCTTGCAATCCTACAAGAGGAAGCCATCAATGAAATAGACTCGTCTTTACACTCCGGTAGTGCAATTCTATGTAACAGGCGGATTTGTTTTCCGGAGCCAAAAGTTTAGATTTCAGGGTCCAGGATCAGACTAACTTAACTTAAAGTCAGATGAAGGGGTTTAAATTGAAAATTCAGTGTGTTATAATGCCTTATATCCACCAATCCAAAGTTTTCCTGATGTAATCACCCACAAAGCATAGCGAATACTGCCATTGGAATAAGCGCAACAAGTTAATATGGTGACCATTCAAAAAATTTAAGATAAGCAACTAATGCAGTAGATTATCCATATATAAATGTAAGCCATCACCTTTCTTTAAGCAATATCACACGTAAACTCTACTTGGAACTTCCGGCTGAAGCTGATCCAATGCAGCGGTCATCTATTTCATGTATGAATATTTGAGGAGGCTCTTCTCTGAAAGTCACAGGCAAAAAAAGAGTTCACTTTGGTTTGCCCCAAAGCTTTGATTTACATGGAAGAATCAGTAACATTTTACTGGAGCCACAAGATGTCAAGAACAAGCTTTATGGATCTCCTATTCATAAATGTTACTCTAAATTTACTTTCTAAATTAAACATACGCCAATGCTATAAGGCGATAACTGGCAAAGTTTTCTAGATTAGTATAGTGGACCACCGAGATATCATATTTCCAAAATGTAAGTTTCACAGGGATGCAGCAGTTGATGGGGAGAGTAGATGAATTTAATAAATGTGGAAATGGAAAGCTCATGTGAAACCCAACAAGTAACCTTCATTGGTAATGAGAAACCAAGCACAAAATTGAGAGAGCATGAGTATGTCCTGAGAAGAGCATAACAACGAGATTAAAGGAATCAGAAAAAACAAATCTGTTGACACCCCTTATTTGACGATGTGGAATTTCAAAAGCTTTTAGGCTGTGTTTGGCGGCATGGAATTGGAGCCTTGGAAATGGAATAGGTGGAATTGGAGAAAAATTTGGTTCAATTTTGTGAGTTGCTTTTCTCCAATTCCACCAATTCCAATTCCATGCCTGCCAAACATAGCCTAAATAAATAATGGAGCACAACATAGTTGATAGAGGGGATTGGATCATCCCTGTACAGGAATGAAAAGATTGGTAAAGATAAAAAAACAAGCACACTAAACCTGCATGGAAGGTAAGTTGGCTAAAACGACGATTATGAACCAAATAACACGAGTTTGAGGCTTTCAGCCTTCATCTCTAAGCGTGATCTGGTGGTGAAGTAATTATGGTTTGGTTAAAATTTTGGCACTGCAAAGAGAGTTTATCCATTAAAACAACATAGGATATCAACATTCTACATTATCCTATTCACATCTGTTTCTGCCTTTTGTTTTGTGATTACCATTCAAGTTTACATACACAGTTTCCCACTTCAAAAACTCGAGCCAATAAAATATCAAATTTTCTTCTAAAAGTTCGACTGTAATCTTTGATTTATTGACGATACCATGACATCACCCAAAGTTTTCTTAAAATGAAGTACAGTTAAAATTCTACACAAGCAACATGATAATTAGCTGCCACGGTATGAAAAAAAACTGGTGATTATTATTACCAAGCTTTCCTCATTGAAAAGAGACATAGTATTGAACTTCAGAAGGCATTAGGTGAGAGAAGATTGACTAACATTTCATTTGCTTCTTGGTATGTGTAGCTTGATGCAACAGCCAAAAGATGCCCCTCGCGGCTATATGATAAGGATGCCACACTGTTGGGGTGCCTAGGCAACTAAAGTAGTAGAAGGTTAAGAGTGCTATGAGACACATTAAACAACCATTAATTGGTAAAAGAAGGGTTGCCATATATATCAGGGTAAACATGGTTCATTTTTTGAGTGGAAACAAAACATATGGTACACAACTACACATGCATATTTAGGATCACAATTATTTCCTCGTGACATAAGAAGCATAAAGCTGTTAAACTTCGAAGAAAGAACAAAAAAAGTTGACATGATATATATTTTAGAAAAAGTACATCATGACTTGTAATTAGCAAAAACTAGCAAGATAAACAAATGCAAGTATCGTACTACCACATATGTTGAAGTGATACGAGTGATTTTGTACACAAAACAAAATTGCACAAATTTGGGAATTTTGTAGCAAATATTAATATGTAAATTTAAAAGGCACATCAACTATGATGCACTAAAAAGCCAATGGGTACTAGCCCAGATGGTATCATCTCTCCTCCCCAAAGGGAAGGTAGAGTGTTTGAGCCCCGCTAGGGGCAATATATTGTGGGTGTGCGTGCATTTGTTTGAACTTCCGAAAAAAAAACTATGATGCACTAATTACACATTTTGGGCACTAGGCATCTTCATTTGCAAAGCATATATCTTATTAGCTTTACAATTAAGTTAACCTTGTCTAATAGACAACACGTAAACTAGAATCAGATAAAAGTACCTCATATAATCTTCTCTTGCTTCGAGCATCCCATGTTGTAACATAGCCCTCATTATCACCAGTGACAAAAGCACCACAGAAGCTAATCAAAGAAGGAGGAAAAAAAGTATGATTCAACTTGTCCCATCTATGATAATAAGCTAATAATGGGGGAACACATACAATGGATTAAATGCAATGTCATTCACCGCTACAAGATGATGCCTTCCATCCTTTGACTTCGGATAACACCGAAAAGCATATCTGCAATGTATCATGAACTGCATAAGGTATGTAGCCATTACAGCAAAATAAAAATTGATGCCAGACGTTTGTAGTGCTAGAGAGCTTCAATAAAGTTTAAAATATGAAATTCCAGATCCTGGACAAATCTAAACACTAGTGATCAAAGTGAAGACCAAGGGTATCATGATGCAGTGACACAAGTACTGATTGCAGGAACAATTTTTGAGTCACGTCTGAACAACATTTGAGACATTATGCTCCAAGTGATTGAGGAGAATGCAGGGAAAGTAGTGAATACCTGTAATCCTCTCATATTGGTTGTAGCTACACTAGCAAGATTTCAAGTTTATTTTCTTTGTTTTTCCATTTCTTTTTTACGACTTCATTGCAAACAAACAAAGCTTATAAGACAGCTTCAACCCATTATAATCAAATCACATATATGATATTTCTGCATATAAATCACTATCCAGAGATTTAGAGTACCACAAACAGAAACTGACCCCACGGCACTAGAATTGGAAGGATAGAGATACTCCAGTTTGACCTTTCCATCAACCGATCCAACCACAAATCCTGTATGAACAGATGAATAATGACAATGCTGTTGGTTGAGGCTATCTCCGAGCATTAAAAAAAAACTAACTTGTATAAGGCATATAAATCATTACCAATATGATAACATGGTTGTTATAATACCTTCAGAATTAAGAATTGGGCGGACACATCTTATTCGGATGTCCAGATGTGATTCTTTTTCGGCGGCTGAGTAGTTGAACTTACGTAAGTCGTAAATGTTTACTGATTCCCTAATGGCAGCAAACAAATTAAACCCAGAGACTGACATAGACACCACCTCAGCACCTAAAGTGTCCAAGCATCGATGAGCATGTGTTGCGCGTGTGTCCCAGGACATTATCTTTTTATCCCAACCAGCAGTGATTACTTGACCTAGAATTTAAAAATAAAAAAAAATAAAAAAAAATTGGAAATCATGTCAAATTTGTTTCAAGAAAAGAAAAATGAGGAGTTGCAAATGTGAACATTATTATGAGTGATGAGACTTCTATATGAGCCACTGACTACGTTGCAGAGTCATGGTCTGTGGTAAGTGCCAACATAATGATTGATATAGATGGAAAGTAGTCATTTGAAAGACTCCAAGTAGAAGCACTTATTATAAGGCAATACATGCTTAGAAAGGCATGTAGAGAGAGATAACTATTTAATATTAATTATTATCCTCAGCAAGAATTTAAGACCTTTAGCTTGTATTCTTTTATTAGATCTCACTGATGGCAATGATGACTAAATTTAGGAGATGATTGGTTGAGCTTGGGATCGCTAGCTTTGAAAATGGTTAAGACAGCAGCCTGCTGATGCATATGGAAGGAAACAATGAAAGAATCTATCACAAGAACAGGAAGACTGTTGAGGCTTCAGAAAGGCAACATGACACCGAGTTTTTTACTATCAATTGAAGAAAGTAAGGTTCATTTTGTTTATCTACAGATACAAGTTCGTGGGGGCTCTTACATAAAATAAACAATGAAACTAGAATGAGACCCTTTCCAAAGGTTGATTTACATTTTTACCATTTTCTTGATAAGCTGCATTGCATTCCACAAAGAAAATGAATATAATAAAATAAATTCACAAGGATGCAAGTTCCACTTTTACATCCTCATCCTAGGATTCCCACAGCCTTGAACAATTGATTATTACTGGCTTAAGATAATGCACAAAAATATCATGTTCAATTGATAATTCTTGGGGTTCCTGTTGTTAATGCCTTTAGAGTGCAATTTTGGCATGATGTTTTGTGCGCAGAGGTTCCTTCAAAAAAAAAAAAAGCATTGTTGGATCTCTTTCAAGTATATCAAGTTAACAGGGAGCAACATGGTAGGGAAGTCACGAATCTTCGGAGAATTCAGGATTCAGAGTCGAATTCAGTGAAAGGCCTTTTCAACATTTTGTACAACCACCCATAAGTTAAGAGCAAGAGGATATTTAGAGGTCCAACACTGATAGAGTCGGTTGCTATGGAAGGTCAAACTACTGTCCAGAACCTCCTTCGTGTGGACAGCAGTCTTGGATGCTATTCTAATGATAAACAATTTGAAGAATAGGGCAACGTGAAGTTCAATTGGTGTTGCATATGTAAGAAGGCTGAGGAGAAAATCACAAGTCATCTTTGTTGGAGCACGTGAGCTATGAAGCATCTTGTTTTCTTTGTATGGATTTTGGCGTGCATTGACTTCTATTTTTTGGCCAATGGGAGAGCTTCTTGGTTGTTAGCCGCATAGCTGGGGGAGCAAGACAGTCCGACAAGCTTGATCGCTCCTCTAGGTCTCATGTGAAGTACTTGCAGGGAGCAAAAACATTGGCTTTTTAAAATGTGGAGATGTTTAGATATATGATTAAGAAAGTGGTGTAAGATACTTCTCATTTTCTGAAGTCTGAGAAGCTTTTTCTTTGTTTGGTGTGCATTGGGTTTCATGTTTTGGCCAATCTAAGAGCTCCTTTGTTGTTGGGTGGGTAGTTGGATGAGCAAGAGAGTCCGGCAAGCTTAGAAAAGCGCGGTAGTATTTCGGATTTATGGCATCCCAACTTACTGCTTACCCTTATGGAACAAGACCCTCGTTATCATCTCTTCTGAAGGGCTAGACCAATAATTGTGTTAATAAGAAGGGTCACTGAGAAATCCTTTGTTTTATCACTCCTCTATACCCCACATGAACCATGAAGCATGTATAGTGAACAAAACCGTTGGCTTTTGAAAAAATAGGGATGTCTACATATGGATAAGAAACTGATGTTAGATACCTCTCAGTTTCTGATGTCTAGGAGGTTCTCATAATCTTTACATGATTTTAAAGATTCCTAAGAGACTTGTCCATTTTGAAATATTAGTTTTGTGTCATTTATGTTGCATGTGCATATAGGTTGCGTGATTGTGCCCCTTCTGGCACTTCTCTAATGCAATCTTTAATTTATTAAAGAAAAAGGTCTAGTTTTAATTGCGTCAAGACATATTGAATTTAGCATATAAAATTTTATGCAAGCTTTAAAATCACAATGTAGAAAAAAGAGGTAGCAAGACATGCCACAATGCAGAGTGCAGACAGATGCACACACACCCAAACACAAGGACAAATGATGGCTTAAACTTTAAAAATGGAACTGTTAACAATGGGAGTTAAGTGACACCAACAGCTTACTTGTTTCAACGGAATATTCAACACAGGTCATTAAATCTTCATGGCTTCCAATTGCATCATGACTTCCTGAATGTAAATGATGCCTGAAACAACAAAAATATGTCAGTAAATGCCGTCTAATAACCTTCACAGAACCTACTGAAAATGTAGCAGACAAAAATAAGGGAACTTGTTTGTCCTGTTTAAATATGCAATGCAAATAAACAAAAAAAATACCAGACACACAATTTTCTTATTCTTTCATGATACTCCTTATCATAGAATAAGGTAATGAGTATGTGAGATGTGAATGCGTTCATTAGACCAAACTACGGAGGAAAATTAGAAATTGAACTTAAAAGATGACGCGCAAATGTTTAAGTGCACCTCCCAAAGGTTCCTAGTCAGTCCTTATGGAGCAGAGTGGTTTTTTGGCCAGTAATATGTTATAATTTCATTTGCTTTACATTGGAAGTAATAATCATTTCAAGAGTCATTATCATCGAACAGACGAAACTATTTAACTATTAAGAATCATCACCAATTCATATCACATTCCATCAATATGAATGGTAATATTACCCAACACAAAAAATTTCAAGATGGGCAATCGTATCCCCATTTGTTATATGCCTTATAAGTCTAAAATTATTCAATTAGCCTCTTCGTATTACTCGTATTAACTTTCATGCCAATTCAGCAATTTCTCAATATTGCTGACCTCAACAACTCAACTTTTCAGTATAACATGATATTAATTAAGCAGATTAAAGGCATAAAATGGAAATAAAATATATATTTCTAGAAGGGAAAAAAAAAAAAAAAAAAATCCTTGCATTAATGCAACAACAAACCTTCGAAGGGATCCATCTGAACCAGCACTAAAAGCAACAGATTCATCCTGGAAACAACAATCAAGAAGTGCGTCTTCCAAAGGAGCTTCTAATCTAAGCTTAAAGCTGTCCGGATCATACAATCGAAGACTCTGCACATGAAAGTAATTACAAATAGGAAAACATGTTGTGTGTGTGTTACAAGCGACACAGAAGTAGAGAGAATACTTACGGAGTCCCAGGATGAGATGAGGAGATTGTTGGATTGCGGAGCGAACCTGATCCTCGAAATGGCGTCTTGAATCGGGTTTTCGAACTTCAAACAAGTGGCCTTCATTTTTGAAACCTGCTAAAGCGAGCCTAAAGACATCAAAGAGAGGCCGAATCAAAGAGCATTCAATTGAATTATTCAAACCCTAAGTTGGAGAAGAAATGACCAGACATTGGATCAGTAAACAAAAACCCTAGTTTTTTGTGCTTCGAGCGTCAGAACATTGTTTGGCTAAGGACTCTCAGATTCTTCGGTTGAACCACTTTGATTATCTGCGAACGCTTTTCTAGGTGGAAGGAAATATGGAGTGGAGATGTAGAAGTGAGTGAAAATGGAAAAGGGAAGCAGAGAATGAAAGAGGACGAAGACGACTTCGGCCTGGAAATTTCCCGCTCAACAGTCATTTGAGAGTATATAATTAGTTCAAATTGAGGTTGATATTCATTCATTATTAACCCAAAAAAAATTAATACCGTGGTCTATTTTTCTTTTTTTACATGTCTCATATTAGTTGTCTTTTTTGAAAAGCTAATAAGGGACGGATATAGTATAATTATTATTATTTTAATTCAATAATAAAAGTTTTTTTTTAGTTAAAATTTAATAATAAAAGTTGTTTTACTCTGATTCTACTAATTTTAATTTCAAGTTTTCGCTTGAATTTTTTCTCTTTTTTCAAGTAATGGTATGCCTTTTGTTTCAGTTATTTTTGTTTTTGAGCTATTAAAGTGTCAATTTTGGCAATAAAAGTATATTTGATGCAATCTTGTTTTATTTTACACAATATTAAAACGCTTCATGAACCGTGGCCGAAAACCAAAATACCAAAAGTTATTTTTTCTTATTTTAACAATTGTTCATAATCCAAAACCATAACAGTAGCCAAAAACACTGTTTTTGGTTTAGAAGAACATTGTTTCCAAACGTGCTTCTGATTTTTTTCCAAAACACTCCTACAGCAAAAAAACTGTTTCTGTTTCAACCAAAAACAAAATGTCTAAAACAAAGCGCATGTCAAACGGGCCAAACAAGTTGAATTTTAACACTTCATTTTTTTAAATGATCTTCATGAACTCAACAATTAACAAGTTACGATCACGAGTATATTATTTTTAATATACAAACAAAACACTTGAATCGAAGCGTTCTACCAAAATACTTTGCCTCGATTCGCAAGTGCCTACCACGTGCACAGTGATGCAAAGCTATAATAAAATTTAGGTTAATTTTACTGACATTCCCTCAAATTTGGCTAAACATCACCTTAAAACACCTTTCGAAAAATCCTATCACTTACACCTCAAATCACTTTTCCGTCAATGACATCCTCAAAATGGGTATAAAATGACATTTTTACCCTCATTTTTTAATACCTTTTAATTTAAAATATCATAATGGTATATGGACGAAATTACCCCCATCACCCTCACAGGTCACTCACACACTCTTACTTCTGGCGCCGGCCACCTCCCACCACCACACTACCATGATGAATTGACCTTTTAGCTAATTTACCTCTTCTTTCATGTCCACCACCTAATTCACTAGCCGTCGCCCTTCATTATCAATGATTTTTTTTTTTTTTAATTATTACTATTTTTTCCATAAACAATTCTTTTGGTTTCTTTTCCTTTTCTTAGAAGGATTTGGAAAGAAAAGGAAAAATTAAGAAAACTTGAAAGTCTATACATGAAGTTTCCATGTTTGTTGAAGGTATCTGTGATGACCTTGTGGACGGGTGCGAGAGACACTGTCAGGCTGCCACACTGGCGATCTACGGGTGCACAGTTCCACATCATCTGGGTAGAGGAAAGGTAAAGTGCTTATATGTAAGTGTGTCATCTCCAATTGGTATGAAACCTTTTGGAGTAAAGCCCGAGAGCAAAACCGTGCGGGCTCAAACCCAGAGCAGACAATATCATACCATGTGGTGGAGTGGGTCGTTACAATATCACCTAACTACTGAGAGGAAAATAGTAAGAAAATAGAATCATATATATATACATATGCGTATGGTGTTTCTTTGGCGGTTCAGTTTAATTTATTGATGAAAATTCCAAGAAATTTCAATCTAAAACCCAAGCGGAGTCATCAATGCATGTCTTTGAATTTCTTCAATTCGTCATCACAGCTTAGGACATATCCTTTGGATTGCTTCATCTGACGAAGAACACGGCGTCGACGCCAATTTTGAGTCTTCCGACCACCAAGTTTATTAACCAAATCCAAATTTGTTCAAATCCTAATTTGCTCTCTTCATTGATTGAATTCACAAACCCTAATTTTTCATGGAACAATCAAGAGAATGAGATACCCTAATTTTCTTTTTGTTTCCCCTTTCACCTTTTCACTAACTACAATTTCTTCCACCTCAAGACACAACAATCCATCAGAACAACAAATCACACTTGTTCTCAATAGATCGACGTCATTGATGGGTTGATGGTGTGCGTTCGATGGAGATTTGGTGGTGGAGATCGTAATGGTGTAATTGTTAGTTGTTGGTTATGATGGTGGTGACTACAGGCGATTGTGGGGTGAGGTGGTTGTGGTGGTGGTAGTTATGGGATGGGGATGGTATTGCCGTTGCAACACCACCACCACGGCTACCAGTTGCAATACGGCAACACCACCACCACGGCTACCAGTTGCAATACCATCCCCATCCCATAACTACCACCACCCATAACTACCAGTTGATTTTGACCAAAGGGTATTTAAGTCATTTTACATGGTATAAGAGGTCTAGAATTAACTCTTGGGAGTGTGAGTGAAAGACGGAACAAACGTTTACAACATGAGTCATAGTAATTTTCGAAAGTTATTTTAAGGTGATATTTGGTCAAACTTGAGGGGATGTCAGTGAAATTAATTAATAAATCTTTGGAACTAATAACCTGGTCCCTTTTATTTATTTATTTTTACAAGTTTGAAAACTTTTCTATCCAATTACTGAAAAATGTAACAAAAATGAAAAAAAAAAAAAAAAAAAAAAAAAAAAAGTAATATAAATAATATGTTTCAGACTCTAGGTCAGGGAGTCAGAATAAAAAGCAACCTACTAAAAATTAAACTTGGCTGATTTAAATTTTAATTCGTTCTGTATTTCAAGAAAGCAAGTCCAATTATTAGACAATTTTAAAGAACCAATTAAGTGAACTCTTATTTATAAGGAATTAAAGCAAGAATGATAAAGATGGCATAGCATTTTCTTCTTGTGGGAGTTTGAAAAGTCTTATCTCCATTACTTAAAAATGTAATAAAAATGACAAAAGTAATATAATACGTTTCGTAAGTCTAGGTCTAGTAGTCAAAATAAACTGACTTGAAGTCTAAGTTGAGTAGAACAATCTCAGTTTTCTTAAACTATGTCTTTTTTGCAGTCCAAATAATGGCGGTTGGGTGTTTGGTTTCCCCTCTTTTAATTTGTAACTTCAATTCCCGTTTCAAAATATACATGTGAACATCTCTGCTATATTATGGAACTACACTTTATAAATTGAATGCTCTGTTTAATAAAGATGCTATATTATGTAACTACATCTCTGCATTCAATTTATAAAATGTAGTTACATAATATAGCAGAGATGTTCACATATATTTTTTGAAACGGGGATTGAAGTTACAAATTATATATATATATATATATATATACTAGTATATTGTTTAAGAAACTCAATTTTATAATTGAATTAGAGGGGAAAAAATTATAGCTGAAAGTGTCATTTTCTGTTTGACCCTGCCTTTCATTAATACAGTGCCATACTAGACAATCATGTACAGCAGATGCATCTTCCACCATGACCCTAAATTCTGGTCCATAGCAACAATGACGTGCATCTATATGCACACATAGGTTGATGACAATAAATTTAAGCTAACAAAATATGGCAGTAAAGTCACTAAAAATGGCTAACCTGAGTAGTGACTACAATATGCCAAACGCACACAATAATGTCAAGATCATTTGATGATTGCTGATATGCAAAACGATGACTACAATATGCACAGTGACCAAACGCACACAGTAATGTCAACACCATTTGATGACTGCTTAGTTAAACCAGGCACAAAAATGAATGACTTCAGTTGCATACTGACCAAAAGCACACATTAATGTCAAGATCATTTGATGATTGCTTAGTTAAACTAGGCAGAATAAGGACTACAATCTGCACAGTGACCAACACAGTAATATAACATCATTCAAACATACAGTACTGTTGTGAAGCTCAATATCTGTATGTTAGTCATGAACCCCTTCACCAACAGCAGAGTCCCCTCTAGCTTCCTCTCCAGCCTCGTCATCCCCCGACACAACCTTAACCCCTTGACCATCAGCAGAGTCCCCTCTAGCTTCCTCTCCAGCCTCGTCATCCCCCGACCCAACCTCAACCCCTTGACCATCAGCAGAGTCCTCTCTAGCTTCCTCTCCAGTCTCACCATCCCCCGACCCTCCCTCAACCCCTTCACCATCAGCAGAGTCCCCTCTAGCTTCCTCTCCAGGCTCACCATCCCCCGACTCTTCCTCATCGCCTCCCTTGAATATTTTTACGATGGCCTGTGCTTGCTTGCGTATCTCCTCCACTTCAGACAATGACAGAGCTTGGAGGGACTGACTGATGCGGGCTCTCTCTTTTTCAAGTACTTCCCTAGCCCGGTCACTGTACATCATATAGAGCCCTAATCTTGCAGGTATTAAAGCAGTAAAAGGTCCAGTTAGCCACAAAATTCGGTGTTGCCAAAACTGAATCTAATCGTTTTGAAAGTGAAAGGGAATCCTGAATATGTCCGCTCCTGCTGTGAGGGTAACTACAACATACACAGAATGGGCACAACAGTACCTATTGAGGAAAATGCAAGTGTTATAGTTCTTTTCTTCTTCTTTTTTTCAATATTCATCAAAATGCCCAAGGTCTTGATTTATTTTTCTATATTTATCTCTGAAGAATGACATCATAGTTCAAAATAAATTGATTTTTTTTTTTCTAATTCAAGTGTAGATGGGGGAACTTAAGGAATTGGTGTGGGAACTCACTGAAGAACTGCTTCTTGTTTTGCACAAAATCTTGGAAAATTAAAAAGATTCAATAAAGAAAGGAATCTAAATTATGATGATATAAACTAGGGAAAAAAAAAAAGATGATTTAGAAATGAGAGGGAGGGAGAGAGTGTACGTAAGGGTGTAGAAACTCAGATTTTGTGCTTCAATGATTCAAGAAAAATCTTCATTCTCTACGAAGATATGCTTTGTTTAACCAAAATCTTGAAAAACATGTATAGATATTCATCAATATTAAGGAAAAATGAAAAAAGATTCAATAAAGAAAGGAATCTAAATTCTGATGATATAAACTAGGGTTAAAAAAAAAATGATAGAGAAATGAGAGGGAGAGAGAGGGTGTAAGGGTGTAGAAATTCACCGAATAACTGCTGAGATTTTGTGCTTCCGGGGAGGGTTTCTGTGCGCTGATTCAATGAAATTTACAGAAATGAGATGGAGCTGAGGAAGAAAAAATGCAGAAATACACTACTGTTAGACCAAAATTTTGAAAAACAATGTATAGAAATTCATCAATATTAAGGAATTTTGAACAAAAAAAAAAGATGATATAGAAATGAGAGGGAGGGAGAGAGTGTGTGTAAGGGTGTAGAAACTCACCGAATAAGTGCTTCACTTCAGAGATTTTGTGCTTCCCGGTAGGGTTTCTGTGCCCTGATTCAACTGCAAATGGAAAAGAACTCACCTCAAAGAAACAAACTCAGTTGTTAGTTTAGAGAGAGAGAGAGAGAGAGAGAGAGAGAGCACACGTGTGCGCGTCTTATATGGGATGTAAGCTGGGCCGGAGCTTCGCGCGGACCAGCCCAATAATGGGTGGTCCATCGAATTGGGCAAATATGCTCCTAATCCGGAAAAGGGATGGGTTGGGCTTGTCTCAATATTACTTGGGCCAATCCCTGCCCGGCCCGGACCCTATATCTCATTTAATATATATAATAAAAACTCCTATTTGCAGATATCCTGCTAAAATAAAATAAAAAATGTAAAATTTGAAGGAAAAAAAAATTGTAAAATTAACTAATTCAAAATTAGAAGGAAAAAAAAATTGTAAAATTAACTAATTCAAAATTAGAAGGAAAAAAAAATTGTAAAATTAACTAATTCAAAATTATACTCCTATATATATTCTATTGTACAGCACATATATATATATATATATACACACACACACACACACGAACCGATCTTTATACCGTAAATTCAACCAAAAAAATAAATAAAAATTAAGAACGGAGTGAAATAATAAGAAATATACCTGTGATCTGTGTCGGCACTGAAAAATTTTCTCCGGTGGGCATGATTAAAGAGCGTGCCAACAGACTAGAGGCTAGGGTTCGGCATGATGGAAGAGACAACAGGGCTTGGTGGAATGGAATTTTCCGACCGGCCGTAGACCTCCACTGCGACCACCGGATTGACAGCTGCAGGCCTGCGAAGCTTGAGGTACACAGACGCCATAGAGAGAGAGGAGCTCATCTCACTTCCTCTCCTCTGGTTTGCTAATTAACTAATTCAAAATTAGAAGGAAAAAAAAATTGTAAAATTAACTAATTCAAAATTAGAAGGAAAAAAAAATTGTAAAATTAACTAATTCAAAATTATACTCCTATATATATTCTATTGTACAGCACATATATATATATATATATACACACACACACACACACGAACCGATCTTTATACCGTAAATTCAACCAAAAAAATAAATAAAAATTAAGAACGGAGTGAAATAATAAGAAATATACCTGTGATCTGTGTCGGCACTGAAAAATTTTCTCCGGTGGGCATGATTAAAGAGCGTGCCAACAGACTAGAGGCTAGGGTTCGGCATGATGGAAGAGACAACAGGGCTTGGTGGAATGGAATTTTCCGACCGGCCGTAGACCTCCACTGCGACCACCGGATTGACAGCTGCAGGCCTGCGAAGCTTGAGGTACACAGACGCCATAGAGAGAGAGGAGCTCATCTCACTTCCTCTCCTCTGGTTTGCTGCAGACGCAACTGAGTCTGGGGTCTTCCTGCCCCTTTTGTTGCTTTGATTTTAGAGTTAGTTTCACTTTTGGTCAAATATCATCGCTATTATTCAGACCTCAAATTACTTTTCTGACATCGTTAAAAATATACAAAATAATAATTTTACCCCAAAATTTTTAATACTTTTTATTCCAAAATATCAAAAAAAATTAAAAGGACTAAAATGCCCTCATTAATTAATAACAAACATAACCTTAGGGCCCGTTTGGCATGCGTTTTACTTTACGCGTTTTGTTTTTGACTAAAACAGAAATAGCGTTTTTACTATTGGGGTGTTTTGGCAAAAATCGGAAACACGTTTGGGAACGATCTTTTACTGTAGAAATGTCGGAAACAAAAACATGCAAAACATGTTTGGTAAGTCATGCGTTTCAAGAATTTTAAAAACAAAACATGTTTGGTAGTTTCAACTGTTGTAAACAAAATAAAACAGAAACAAAACACATGTTTGGTTATCATTGTTTTTAATTTATTTTTATAAATTTTAAATTTATTTATAAATTTATTTCTATATAAATAGTATATATATTTTTAATAAATATATTAAAATTTGAACACACAAACACACACACACACAACATGTTATCTTGATCTGAAACTACACTTTAAGTTATTTGAAATTTCCTGGTATAGTTTGTTCCTTTGATAATGATTGTCCATAGGTTTGTATTTCATTCATTTTGCTCATTTTTCGCATTAGCGAAAGAAGAAAAAAAAAATACTACACAGCTCTGATAATAATTTTCGACTCTTATAAGTCTGCATTGGTGGGAATTTAACTCCAAAATACAGATTATTGCCTTCTCTTTTGTAAAAAAATGTAAACCCCTACAAAATTATATATATATTAATTTTTGTAATAACCTATTTACAAGTTATTTGTAATAACCTACTTCAATTTTATTATCATTATACATGTATAGTCCAACTCAATATTAGAAATAAATAATCTCTAGTCACATTTTACTATACTACACGAGAGTCAACATTTGTAAAAAAATTTGCAATAACCTATTTACAAGTTCTTTATAATAAACTGCTTCAATTTTATAATGATTATACCTGTATAGACCAACTCAACATTAAAAATAAATAATCTCTAGTCACATTTTACAATACTACATGAGAGTCAATATTTGTAAAAAAAATTTGCAATAACCTATTTACAAGTTCTTTGCAATAACCTGCTTCAATTTTATTATCCTGACACCTGTATAGTCCAACACAACATTAAAATAAAAACAAACTCAATTGAAAGCATAATTGAAATAGAGTGTATAACATTTACAAGTCCTTAAATATTCAACCAACAAATTAAACAAATTTAAGTTGTACATAAAATGTTTGGAACAAAGCATTAACAATACATAGTTGTCACTAAAAATTGATAAGAAGTTCATAAAGTGGATGACAATGGCAACGACACATCATCTTCATAACAGCACATGTGGCCTTCAAGAGAGCATCAACACACTTCATATCTGCAATAATAACATTTAAGTTGAATTATATATCTGTAAAAAAGATTTATATTACATATATATATTGCAAGCTCACAATAGCAACAAATATATTACATATAAAAGAAAAAATATACCATCACTTTCAGAAGGATCAAGAGTGCTGAAGAGAATTCCAAATTTGATCAGCAATAGTATTACGCAACTGATTCATTTCTCAAAGCTGAGCCAAAGGCACATGCTCAACAATCTCATCATCTTCACCATCACTTTGAGGATGATCATTACCATCAAATATGTCATCAGGCTGATGCTGATCTTACATATGCAGTACACATTGTTACTACACTTCACTGGGCTGCAGTTCTCCAAGTTTTGCGTTATCTTCGGGGTACTTTAAATCAGAGTTTGTTGTTTTCCTCCACTTTTGCTTTGGAACTTCGAGCTTTTTCTGATTTTGACTGGGCCGGATTTCCAACCGATCGTAAGTCCGCTACTGGCTTTTGTATTTTTCTACGTGACTCTCTTATATCCTGGAAAAGCAAGAAGCAGACAGTTGTTGCTCGCTCCTTGCTGAGTATCATGCCATGGCAGCAAAGATAGTTTGGCTTCGATGGTTGCTTGGTGATATGGGTGTTACTCTTTCTGTTCCTATTCCTATGTATTGTGAAAACAAGATTGCAATTCAGATTGCACACAACTGTCTTTCATGAGCGCATGAAGCATGTGGAGATTGCTTGTCATTTTGTGCGCCAACACCTTCAACTTGGCACTATTTCTCTGCCCTTTGTTTCTTTTACTATGCAGTTGGCTGACTTCTTCACAAAGTCCCACACTATCATGTGTTTTCGTTTTCTTCTAGGCAAACTCGCAATGCTTCTCTCTGTTACATCGTGAGTTTAAGGGGGTTAAAGTACGATTTATTTTATTATTTGAGGTTACTATTGTCTTTTCCTTAGTTTATTAGTTTAGGGCTTATTATATATTGTTATGTAATGTATCCTTCTGTAAACTGAATACATGATTTGCGTTATTGTGCACCTCTTGTTCCTCCTCTTTACTCTGCAAAGCAAACCAAATAATTGTAATTCTAATGCCTATGTATCATATCCAAATTTTGGACCATTTCAAGCCAGTTCCATGTACCCTAAGATTTGGGATTTAGAGAGGTCCAACACCAGGACAAACAGTCGCACCCTCAGCACCGACACAATAGGACATGATATGAGTATAGGATATGTCCAACACACGTATTCAAATCGAACATGCAAAAACGTCTTCCCTAATTTTGGGATAGATGGAATCCTCCATTTTTCACCATATTCTATTTAACTTGAATACGATGAAGTATAATTTTAAATGATAAACTGCATCATATATTAAGCTATTATATAGCAAATTATGTATTTAAATATACAAGATGTGTCCATGTAATGTATCCAAATTTTGGACCCATTTCAAGGCAGCTCCATATATCCTAAGATTTGGGATTTAGGGAGGTCCAACACATGGACACACACTTGCACGGGTACATATATCCAAGTCCATGTAACATAGAAAAATTCTTATATATTAGGCTACCTAAGGCTTGGAGAATCATTATTAAATCAGTTTTCTGGTTCAGTTTTTAAGATTCATTTAATTCCTCTCTTTTTTTTGGCTGTTTTCTTTACTTTTCAATTTCAATCTTGTTGTAAACAATGTTTTGATCGTCCTCTCTTGGTAAGACAGATTGCATCATGCACACATTTTAAATTATACATGATGAGATAAACTTAAATTACTAAGTGAAAGGAGAAAATTACCAGTCATACTTCAGAATTCCCACAATCAAATCTTGCAACAGAGGAACATAAAGAAGCAAATACAATCATTGTTACATGTTAGAATTGTACATAATATATTATGATTGTACCCAGCTCCACCCAACAAACTAAAAGACTTGAATCCCTAGAACCAAGCAGAATTGAATAATACCAATAAAAAAGGTGATATACACAATTAAGCTTTAAAGTACATGAAAATATTAGAAAACTAATTTTGTAAAACTCTACAATTCAGGTTATTGTATACTATGAAGAAAACTTTAAAATATACAGAGTTCAAAAATCATAAGATTGTACTTTGATATTCCTGAGATTGATTTATTATTATTATTATTATTATTATTATTATTGATGAATAGAGATTGATTGTATTTATGAAAATCTCTTGAGTGAACTCAAGAAAGTCTCGAGAAGTCCTTGTTTCACCTCCTCTCATATGTAAGAAACCAATAAACAAAACAAGAATCAAATGCAAAAGCCAGTGTACTCCCACCTCTCCACATGATAAAAAAATGTAGTTTATCCAATATATTTTCAGACCAAAACCACCAAAGTGTATCAAAATACCAAGATATAACAGTGACATCAGGGAATCAAAAAATTCTGGCAACCCATTATTTTAGCAGCATATATATTCAAAATATAACCACAAGACATAAAAATCAACAGCTGTTAAGCACCCACTTTGAATTAATCCATAAAACAGCAACTAATATAGTGCTCCTACAAACAACAAAAACATAATCTTTCTTTAGTGGGTATAAACAGAAAATCATAAAAAAAAATAAAAATAATTACAGAAGGTACAAAAATTAAATTATTCTAAGAGTGCAAGTAGTCATAATGTAGTGGAATGTTAATCATTCACTAACTCAAAATAGGGAGACATGAGAGAGAGAGAGAGAGAGAAAGAGATAGAGAGAGGGGAACCTTGAAGCTTGAAGAGGTGAAGATTGGATTTAGAGGAGTCCAGAAATGAAATGGTCTTGATTTCTGTTGGAGAGAGTAAATTCAGAGCCATCATAGCCCCACTTTGAACGAATTTCTGATTCTCAAATTCAAAATGAAACGAAAAAGAAAAATTATATGTGGATAAGCAGTGACAATGATATATATATAGAGAGAGACTGAAATATGATATAGGATTATTTTGTGGTTTGGAGTAATGGGCAGTCGCAGAGCTATCTTATAGAGAGAGAAATTGTTTGTTTAGAGTATGGGTTTTAGAGAGAGAGAGTGGGCACGATGAGTGGGGCGACAAGACGAGACGAGGGTGTGGAATCAGCTCATCTCGTGGACTGCGTGCAAGCTTACAGATTTGGACTTCGTGCTTGCAGATTTGGAAACAACATCAAAGGAAACAACAAAGAAAGGGAAATAGAAGACAGTACTCACAGTATATCGCGATTCCTTTTTGTCGCCTCCCAAATCGCCTCCCAAATCGCTTCTCTAGGGTTTCAGAGGAGAGAGAAAACATCGGGCCAAAATGATGCAAATCCGTTTTAAGGCTACTTCATCCATTACAGTATTGGACCAACTTACTTCATCCGCTACAGTATTTTTTATTGGGCTACAGTACTGAAACAACCAAAAACACCATTTTGGTGTTTCACTTTTGGACCCAAATTCAGCACTGTTTAAAACAATATTTTTGTACTATTTAAAACAAAATAAGTGTCACCAAACATGTTTTTGGGCCTAAAATGAAGCCCTGCAACAAAAACACCAAAGT